TAGGTATGGCCAAAACAGCTGTCATGGCCATCTGGTCACAAACCCTGCCAAATGCCCATTCCTGCGCTTGTTTTTTCGATCACTGTATAACAGACCACAATTCATTTTGTCACAGTGAGCCTTCCATTAGATTGCATTTAATTTCTGACATTGCTGGATAGAGTCTGTTTGACTTTTTTTGTGTTCTATTGCAAAATACTGGGTACAATGCCAGTATTAATTCCAAGAAAGAAATATTAAAAAAGAGACTACCTATGGTTGAAAATCAAGCTCGAGTTTTGCTCCATGAATGGAAGGAACTTCCATTTACAGAAACAGTGTTCTGCACATAGAATCCAAGCCCATGGATTTAAGATAAAGTTTTAGGTAAATCTTCATGTTTCTCCCTCAGTTCTCTGTTTTTATTCAGAGGGGATTTTATTCAAATGACAAAATTTATAAACTAGTATTGTACGAATGAATAATAAGAAAATACATTTCAGTCATATGTGTTCCAGTCATATATGTTGATAGAGTTCGTTTTCATATTACTGGGGCCATTTTGTGCCATTTGTTGTGCTAATGATGAATGAATGGCAGATGGATTTTCATTCTGTATAATTTTGGAACACTGCCAGTTCCCATCCGCTACCGAGTAACTGTCCTAGACATATATTTGCCATGTGGAAGCACAATATCATGAAACAGTCCCCGAGGGCAGCATCTTGCAAAATATTTTGTAATTTGGGTGCAAAGTATGCAAGTAGAATTTCAAATAGGAATACGGGTGTTAATGTGTAAATATCTTTTAAAATATGCATGAGTGAGGAGCATTGAAAGATCAGCTCCATGGTTCCATGTATTGTAAATGACATTTGTATACATGTTCATTCTGGTGTACTAGATGTGCATTTCACAGAAGCCTAAAGAACAGAAGAATTTTTGATTTGAATAAGATGTTCAAGTGATTAGGTAAGAGTCTGGTTGTGTCATTCCTACTTCCATGTTTTCTTTTCTATTCTATTGATTTGATTTATCCCCCACCTTCTTTCCCAAAATATGGCACTCAGGTCACTCAGTTTGAGTTGGCATTGCATATATTCACAGAAGTAAAAACAAACAAGCCCTTGTACTGATATCAACTTTTTATGATAAAGATTGCATCTTTATCATAAAGAGCAGCCTGTTCTTGTTCCACATAGGGATACTAAAGCCCATCTAGATTGCAACGGAAAAGTGTGTTAGCTCTCACAAGGAAGAGCTAGCCCTCTTAGCTTGTGCAAGCTAATCCTTGTGCAGGCCCTCAGTTTATCCTTTGGCCTGCAGTTCTGAATGGTCATCTTGCTCTGCTGGACATGCATTTTCAGAAACAGTGAATATGGTCTCTGCCTCTTACACTTAGCCATTGTTTTCAAACATGGATGTGTCGAGGACACAGATATATGAGAGTTTCTACCGTTAATTTGCCATTTTACCTCCAGATGTTCATGCAAAAATTGATACACACATTGGGTAGGATAAAGGCCATGTGGTATTGTGTAACATTCCTTTAAACATTTGTATTGTGTTTTATATTTTATATGGTGGGCAGGTCATGAGCGGAGCAGGCTGGAGCTGGGGGTCAGACTAGATGGCCCTGGAGGCCCCTTCTGACTCGCTCTGTTTCTCTGTTTCTATATTTTAACCATGCAATCCTATGGCTCCTACACAGTGTCCAGATACCACAGGATTTTTCAGAGCCCCAGCTCTGATAGTGGAAAACAGCTCTGATGTTGGAATTAGGACTTTTGCCTTTTCTTCCTTCTTCTCTTTTGTTCCCTCTCACAGCTGGTGCAGCATTGGCTGATATTCCAATCCTGTTGCAAAAGCAACCTCAGAGAAATGGTTTAGGAGGTGTTCTGTGGGAATGGATAGAGGAGAAGGCTTACACTGTCAAGATACAGCAAATTCTGGCAGTGCCTTGGCCTCCTCCCTTCCTGGTCTGAAGCATTGCTGTTAGAGATTGCCTTAAATAGGTTGCCTAGCTGCTTTTTAGGGTGGGAGGACTATTTAGGCAACCTTAATCTCCAGGCTTCTTCTTTCCTGCATAGGATGTCCATAATCCTCTGAATTGGAGGATTATGGACATCTTCATAGGAATGCACCATAACTGTTTCAAAAATAGCATTTTAGTTTTTTAACTGGCTGCAGGATGCTCAGAAAACATTACTTATTGGGTGTCTTAGAAATAAATAAGTAATCAGTCACTCTGAAGATCTGAAAAGGAAAAGAATTGACAATAGAAGCTTGGAGACATGCACTTCTTTGATACATCATGTCTGTAAGGAAAGCATTATATCCCACCTTCAGTGTTAGTTTTGGTAGAAAGGCAGAGTACAAGTCAAATAAATGCAGTTTGTCCATTGATCCTTAAACAATTTTCTGCAACTGTGAGAAGCTTTTTTCTATTACATTGTGCAGTGAAACAGTTTTGGCCCACAGGCTTCGATTCTCCATCTTTGCTTTACTAAGTTCCAAATTATATTGTCCAGCCTTTTCTTTACTATGTTACTACATTGTATTACAGTTAAAGAGTGGCCATCTTGTTTATATTGACTCAGGAATCCAAAGCTAAATGATCATTTAATTTCATTGGTACTGGTAGCACCCATTTTAAACTGTGCTTTGGCGCTTGTCATTGCAGTTGAGTTTCCTAATACAGGACGTTTTCCAGGCAGGGCCAGACTGATAGTGGTTACTCAGCTCTGCATGTTGTTTTAATTAGATCACTTCCTAAACGAAAAAAAAATGGTTGCAAAAGGCATGTTAAAATAAGGATAAAAACTGTTAAGGTTTTTCTAGGAAAAGGTCCTTCCCCCCCATAAGTCATTTCCAAATAGATTATTAAAATTCTGCTTTGGAGGTATTTTGTTTGTTTTAGGACACATTTACATGTTAGGAATCTGGCTGTTTTAGGAACTCACTAGCAATTTTGGACTTCCTCTTTTTATCAAGAAAGGTGTAGAACAAGTTCTCAGAGAATTAATGTGTCTATGAATGATAAAATTAGAATCCTAAGTCAAACGTGCTTCTTAAAAAATTAAATTTCAGGTATGTCTACTTTATTATCAGAGTAAAGGTTCTCAAATATGAGGAAAGCTTCCCTAGGGAAGTATGGGCAGTGCTGGATGAAACTTTTAACTTTTCATGACCCTTCCCAGTGTTTTTCTCAGACAAAGAAAGAGAATAGCAAGTAATTCTGGTCTCTGTATATAAGGGAAGTACAGGAAGCTCTTCATGCCATGATGATGGTGTTGGTAATGGAAGGTTTGTTTGTGTATGTGTGTGATTATGCTCACATCATCAGGTACATCATTCTCTTTGATTTGCTGGAGCATAAAGGTTAATGACCAGAGTAATTACAGCTAGGTAAACTTCTGGTCTTTTTTAGCTTAAAGCACATACATATGGCAGCTGTTCTTACTTGAAATTAGAAGTGTTGAAAGTATCCCTCCAAAAGGATCTACCAAACCCAAAGTAAAAATCCAGACATGCAGACTGTAAAGCCCAATACTGGTCTCATGGTCAGTAGTATAGATGGGAATATGTGTGGTTATGTTGTATGAGCACACTGAATCCCCCCAGATAAACATGTGCAAATGTAGTTGTATGTGGCAGTGGAGGAATGTTCCCCGCTTGGCTCAGAGAAGGTTGCCATAATATAGTTTCTCATTCAAGGTAAATTGGGAGTATATGCTATGTATCCTGTGGGCAAGTAGCTTAATCCCAGTGCCTACAAATGAGTCAGCTGGCACAGGTTTTTTTTCTTCCATTCAATCTTGAAGAAAAGCCAGAAATAATATATAATGATCTGCTGATGTTAGGAGGTACTCTCCATTCTCGTAAGCATTACCCATGGGCATTCATACACCAGATAAGCCAGTCAACCAACCAGTGTTCAGAGGTTGTTTGCTTGTCTGTTTTTTGCATTGTGACAGGATCAAGAAAGAGACTGGTCAAATGTTACTTCTCTGAAGAAATTAGACTTGGATTTTTTTTGCAAAGTATTCCTAGTATTTATGCTAAATTATGAATGTCCATTAAAATTTTGACAAGAGAGCAAATATACATAGGATCTTTCTGTAACTTTCTGAAGCCTTAAGTAAAACAAAAAACCTTAAATGTGGTTGATTGTTAAACTAAGTACATATGTAACCATCTGGAATACCTGGGATTTTGTGTATCTTCTCATATTCTAAGAATAAATCAGATTAAAATTATGCAGAGGTGTGTTTGGAATACACTTGCCCTAAGCCCTTGTTACTGACAGGTTTTGTTCAGAAACTACTTTATCCTGTAGCTAGCTATCCATTGGCAGCCATTCAGAATTAAAGTGTTGGTTTAAGTGCTAGTAGTTGACGACCAAGTAAAACCTATAATATGTAAATCCACATGGAGTAACAGTTCCAAGAATCTGTGGAAAAAAAAATAAAGGGTCCCGGCAGCTGCGTCACAGGATTTGTTCACTTCAGGCTAGGGTGCCAGGAGATTTGAGACAGATGTTTTCAGACATGCGGCATGCCTAAAACATTTCCAGGGGTCGGGCTACAAATAGTGACTTAATAAGTGTAGAAACAGGAAAAGTATGCAGGAGGGGAAGACGCAAGAGTTTATTCACCCCTAGGTGAACAGCCAGTCGCTTTACATTACATCTGCCTGTCAGGGTTGGCTATTTAAGCTGTCATGCCCTTGGTGTTGCTCTTTGACTGTGAATAAAGTGCAGCATTGTGATTACTAATCCCACTCCAGTGACTTGACTTTAAATGTGGTTTTGGAGTGGATCCCGGAGTCCTGTTTGCTAAGCTTCCTACTCCTGTTTCAGAGTCACCACTGGATATTGAGGAGAGAGCATTGAAGCCTGCCCTTCTCCACTTAGAAACTTGTTACTTTATTAAAATATTTTTAATAAACCATTTCAAGGAAGTCAATGGCTACCAAAGTTATCTGTTTGTTTTTCTTTTTCTCTCTGCCTTTGCTCCCAGTGGGAAATCACACGGGACGCATCAAGGTGATCTTTACACCCAGCATCTGCAAAGTGACCTGTAAAAAAGGCACCTGTCAGAACAGCTGCGAGAAAGGAAACACCACAACACTGATTAGTGAAAATGGGCATGCTGCTGATACCCTGACAGCACCCAACTTCCGAGTAGGTAAGTCTCATGAATTCTTACTAGTCTTTGCTAATCCTTTCTGAACTGTTTGTACATATTGTGAATTTCTTAGCTTTCTTTGAAAGATCTATAATAAGCATTATGTCATTTAGCTGTTAGGCATCCCTCTGACAGCACTTGATAAACTTGTAACATGCAAAAAAACCCCCTCCTACTAAAAATTGTGTGCGTGTGTGTTGCAGGTAAAACTGCTTTTTTTAGGAATGCACAAATTGGTTGGAAAAATATGTCAAGATTGAGGGAAAATAATGCTTCTTCAGTTTTGTAGTATAGGATTTTGGTAAGTGAATGTGAAATCTATTTAGACCAAAATGAAATGTTCCTGAAAGACATTGTCTGGGAATTGTTTAACCCTACATTCCTGTGAGTGAAATGGGTGCCAGCTTAAAAACCTATGCCTTGAGTGTACTGTGAGCATAACAGATTTATTATGTGTCAACTGTCCAAATAGGAGACTGAAAACTTAAAAATGAAATAGAAAGTAAAATAAATTTTAATAGTAATTCCAGTGAATGCTTTTATGTGGTTTCCAAGTAGAAATTTCAATGATATACTTTATTTGAACTAAAATAAAAGAATAAGACATTGATTTTTTTAAGGGTTCTTGAATGCTATGTGTATGGCAGTATATAATTACCACAGAGGCATTTTCCCACCCTGTAAATTAACTGTGCACAATAAATCCATTTGTTTTGAAGCAAAGCTCATTGATTTTAGTGGGAAATATTTCCAGTTGTTATATAGTACACACAATAATCTGGACTAGTACACTAAACATTTCATATCTCTTACTGTGCAAATGTATGTTCTTGCTGCTGACTGGGGAATTTTTAGCTCATTGCTGTACCATTATATTCAGTTTACTACAAATTACTTTGTAGAATAATGACATCCTACCAAACCTGTTCTGCAGTGTAGAAGAGTGAAATTTGTTTAGCAGGGTAGATGAAAATTACCTGATTGCCTTTCTTTTTAAGTAAGCCATTTTTTTCTCAAAGATCAGGTTTTCTAGTCTAGCAAGGTGGATGGTGCAGAATGCTAATCAGTTGCTGTAATGTTACTTCCAGAAGTTGTTCCCACTGGAAGCAGCAGTAGCAGCAACTGCAGCAGAGCATGATAGTCAGCAAGTAGTACCTGAGCAGAGAAACATCTTTATAGTACAACCATTCTGTCCTGATGCAATAGTCAGTGTGCCACCTATGTTGGTTGCATTATTTCAAGGATAAGCAACTGAGTGCCATCTAGATGCTTGGGACTACAACTCTCATAAACCCTGACCACTGCCCTACTGGCTCAGGTTATGGAAATTGTAATTCAAAACATCTGGAGGACACCGGGTGGTTTACCACTAGAATTTGTAGCAGATGGGAAGAACGTCACATTTGTGAAACTGAAGATACAGGGTTATAAGTGGCCTGATTTTAACTACAAAGCACCCATACAATTCTAAGTTTGGGGTTGGGTGCAATATCAAGTTATAATTTGTTGTTTCATAGATGAAACCCAGGTTTGCATACTGTCTTTTCTAAATATCCCCTCTCTAGTAACCCACTGTAGTTTCAAATATACAATTACTGGCCAAACTGGTTTTCCTAAACAGATCTAGAAACAACAATGGAATGGAGTCTTCCAACTCTGGTTTGCAGGCAAGTCATAATTAGACAATCTCATACATAATGGCAAATTGTTGTTCGCCGGAAGTTCAGGTGCCAGAAAGGAGAAAGTACATGAACCCAAGGATCATTCATGTAACACCAAAGTGGTTGGCATTATATGTGAAATGAGCCTATGTATGGAAGTGTCCTTAAACTGCATTGCTAACATGCCGTGGTATGGATTCAAATTCCTCTAATACCTAAGCACATTCCTTGATAGTGATAGCTTGGGGTTTGCACATAAAAATAAAAAGTCATGCCACATTCAATATGTTCTACATTTCACTCTGGTATGTGGCACTGATAAAAAGAGGGGAATTTATGAATAGTGGGCCTGTGTAAAGGGTGTGACGAAGTACCATCTATACCTGTGTTCATTATCTTAACACTGTGTCCAGATTTATTTTAAATGTTTTGTTTTGACCCACTGGAGATATAAGGCAGATCGGAAAACCTAATTTTTAATAGGCAGGAATAAATAAGCTACTTGCTTTATAAAGCTATGCTATACACCTGTCGTCGACATAATCAACTGAATATATTAGCCAGTGAAACAAACTGTACCTCATTTTAGATATTTTGGAAGACGTATGCACAGTAAATTCTTTTTTAAAAAGGGAACCTGGAGCAATATGTGGAAAGGATGTGCAAAGAGACACATGTGCTTATGTTTGGAAATTACCAATCTGATTTATGTTTCATTCCTGGTGATACCTCATAAGTTAGAACTGGGATAGTGGGCAAGCAGCATACATTTTGATTTGGTCGGATAGCAGTGAGAGAAGTTAAGTCCTGGACTGCTCAGATCACACTTTCCAGGTCCAGTCTGCCAGCCTGTCATACACTACTGCTGTACTTTGATAGTACAGTCCTAACCAGTAGGGGGTGCATATCAGAGATGGTTACAGTTGATCCCTCCTAAGGTTGAGGCTCTTGAATACAAAAATTCAGGATCATGGCTCTGTAACCTAAAGATGACTCTTGTTAGTAGAGCTAGGAAGAAATCTGTAGTGGGACAGGCCAATACTCGGATGAGTTGTCTGCAGCTATAGTTTTTGCTGCTCACGATTTTTCTGGAAAAATAAAGGGTCTTTAGAAAAAGTAAAAGGGATCGGTAGTTTTAAGAATCCATGTGCTAGCATCTGGGACTTTTTCTTAATTAAACTTAACGTCTTTTGAGGCAATTCCTATTTCCACTTTACACAGCTTTGTTGCAAATTCTAGAGTGTTAACTTGTTAGTCTGTTGCAACAGCAGCACTACAAAACCGTTAAAGACCAACATATTAATTATGCCAGGGGTTTTTGTATGTGGGGGAGAATGATACAGGGTGGAAATTTTTCCAATGCTTAATTTTTCTGTGGAAGAAATCCTATTTCATAAATTCATTAGTAAAAATGAATATATGCCAATTGCGAATAAAAGCTTGGTAGTTCCAAAGTTGCAAAAATTTTTCAGGTTATTTTCCTTTGTAAGTATGTGAATCAATGCATCTACAAGAATGAAATATATTTATGTCTCAGAGTGAAAAGAAACTAATAAATAGTGACAGCCGAACTGAATCTTGACTAAAATGCTTAGTAGAAGAAAGCTGAACTCTGTGAAATAAATGAGTGGTTGTCCATGTATTGTAAACAGTTCTTTGTAGTTTTGTATTTTTCACTTTAAACTTAAATAATGTAAAGGTAGTACATGCCATTGTATTGATTTTTTACAAACATCACAATAAAAATTACATAATATAACATTTAAGGCATATTATAGGCACGATTGTATGCATGTTTCACCTGAAAAAAGTTGTGCAATTCTCTGCCTTCCCCAGCCAGCCATGCTCACTAGGGCTTTTTCTGTTTAAACATGCATAGGCGTCTATCTTAAGTGTGCTTTCCTTTTTCCCCTCAGATGAAATGCTTTTCTTTAGTTTTATTCACTAAATACAAGCAAAATAAACTTGTTAAATGAGATCTTTCTAGGGCAACAGAACAGTTTCTGATAGAAACTGAATATTTTACTATTCAAATGAACATATGCAAATTACTCTAATTTTCACTGAAACATTTTCGTTTTTCATAACACTGAGAGACCACTTCATCAAAGTGATGATAAATATATAAATATATGTAAATAAATAAATCGTATCAGTAGAAAGGTATGCAAATGTGAGTACTGAAAAAAGTTTGTAACTTTAATTGTTTGTAACAAAGAGAAGCCAAAACCCAAGCAACATAACAGATATCTGTGTGCTTGATGTGGTTGGTTTCCAAGATTATGTCCCTTACCTTAATTACTTTGGTGCCATCGTATAATCAGTTTGCCACCTTTGCATAGCAAGTGCTGCCATGTAACTCAGTTTTAACATATGTATGGATGCAGTGTTTACATACAGTAGCACAACATCCTAGCCTTCTGAGCTTCTCATCTCCCCTCACCTCATTGTTGCATTTAATTTATAGGAACCTGGTTCATTTCTGATCTTCCCCTGTTTGGCCACATGTTTAGCTTTCCAGATCCAGCTTTTCAGTTTGGATTTATTTATTTATTTCTGGCAATGATTTGCATAGCAGAGGAGAATGGAAAATGGGAACGGCATAATGAGCGTTATAGAAATTTCCGGCTAACTTTTGTAATTGTATGACTCATTCTTCCTCGTAAGACTATTTCTGGTTTTGATATATTATAACAAGTTTGAACAACACAAGTCTGAGTTAGTGCATACTTAATCCATCCTCTTTAGATTTTATGAGACAGAAATGTTATGACTTGTTGTGCTGCAACTGATCACCTTACAGGCCAATATTTCTTGCTCTTGCCCTGCTTCTGATTGAAACCAAGACATATGAAACTATGGCACTCTATCTACTAACATTTTCTTTCTGTTGAGTTTTGCCCTCCTCTGCTCACTTTGGTCCCTGTCTCCTCCTGACCCAGAACTGTTAATACTTGTGGTCACCTTCTTTGCCAAACAGGAAGATTACTCTGTAGTTGTACTTCTTCCCTACTTCTCTGTGCTGCAACTCTTTGTACCCTCTCTTCGTAGACTGCTCCTTCTTCCCTTCAGCTCTTTTTGGTGACTCCTCTTATTTGTCCCCTAATATCTCATTTGGACTGAATGTTTGGATCTAGCAATTGACTTTTGGAATCTTAGTCTTAAAGCAAAGCATGAAAATGGTGATGACCTTATCAGTACATTTAAACAGGAGATGTCATTTAATAAAAGACATGGATAGATCTGTTTTTCATTAATTTGTCCAAGTTAAGGACTCCCAAGGATTTAAACAGATCACTGTTAAGAGAGTGGGCATGTTGTGCAATAATTTGAGTGTCA